AAAGTAACCGACTATGACTAGTAATAATCAGATATACAGAGATTAGAAATACATGTGCATTTTAGTGTTAATTGTACTGAAATTGAATTTTTCTGAATGAAATTGTGTATTTTAATAGTGAAATGGAGATCTTTTTTAAAGTTTAAAACCACATTTAATTTTATGTCATAGGGTTTATACTGAGTACAATATTATATAACTGTATTAATTCAACTCTAAACCTAAAAATTTACAGCCAATTTTGAAGGAGATGCATCTTAGCTCTGGAAATTGTTATTGAATATGTCAATGCTGTTACAATGAAATGCTTTGATTGTGTGGTTATTAAATAAGTTTTTTTAAAAAGAAAAAAGAAAGAAACACATTTTATAGTCCAGTGCTCAGTTTAACTCCTCAAATCCCCTTCATTTACTTCAAGTCTCGAGTGTACAACTAATTTAAAGAATACTGTGTCCCATAATATAGCCACTTACTTCTACCTAATCAAGACACTCTTTCCATCCTTATCATATGTACTTTGAGCACTGCCTTCTCCTGTTTTCCACTCTTAACTTCAAGAAGTAAGTCTGGCAGTAAAGAAATCATTACATTCCTTTTCCCCAGGCAAACTGACTAGTACAGGAACATCTTTATGTACCCATTAGAAACAATGAGAGAAAATAAAATCTTTCCTAGATGTTCAAGAAAGAATCTCACTTTTTCTCATGGACAGAAACCAGAAAGGATACAGGGGCTGGAGCTACTGACATCTTGGCATCACCTGGTGCTCAAACCAATGTAAGAGAAGCCTGAGCCCTTCTTCCAGCAACACCTATAAAACCAGACCTAATTCTACAAATGCTTATCCTGCTGATTAAAAATGCTTTTTATATACTATCCATTTATTATCATTTAAAAATTAAGTATTGTAATTATATACTACCTGTAGCCTTTTTTTTTGCTATTCATTATCACACACTAAATATCTACTTACAATATCCAGAGTCAATATTATACACACCAGGCTACACAAAGGTCAATGGAAACAGAAGAGTCAATTGTAAGTATGACGCAGTCCAAATAAGGTGCTCATCCACATAACTGTGACTGATGTTTAAATAAATGCAGCTGTATTAGTTTATGATTTTGCTTGTAGGTATTGTTTTTGTCATAGGGATAAAAAGAACAATGATTTAAAAGCAAATGAAGGGAACCTGGATATAGCTCAGTGGTACAGCACTAGCTTAGTATGCTCAAGGCCCTGGCTTCAACGCCAGCACTATAAAAAGGAGAAAGAAAGGAAAGGAGAGAAAGAGAGACGGACTGATTTAAAAGAATGGGCTGCTGGTATATCTTAGTGGTAGAGTAAGTTTAAATCTAACATATACAGGGAAGGAAAGAGGAACGAAATGAAGGCAGTTTTAGAAGTTTAAATAATCCATAATAAACAAACAAATAGTAGTAAAGCAAAAAAAATTTTGAAAACTTATCACTAGCTCAGAAGTTTTATACTTATACTTTTTTTGATATATAAAATTATGCTCACTATTAAATTTAATTTATAGTGCAAGTGTTGCCAATTAGAGCTCGACTTTCAATGGAAGGGAAGAACTTTCAGTTCCTTTTGAATATAGATTTAATCTTCATCCCAGGTTTGTAATGATCCCTATGAAACTAGAGACTATAAGGCCCAAGAGCCTTTCTCATTTAGAGGAAAAGTATGCTAATTTCAACCCAGTTTACATACTTGCAAGAATTTTAACATCCTCTATGTTAAGACTTTTCACCAATGGTACAAATATTAAGTGGTAAAATTATAACCATTAAAATGAACTGTGGTCACTTCACAGATTTGTTTTATATCAAGAATAAAATCTATAACATTTACATTAAATTAAAAGCATAAAAGATGGTTAATCAAGGGGCTCGAGAGACAGCATTTACATACGTATAGGCAAAATAATAATACACATAAAATAAAAATAAGTAAATAAAAATTAGAAGAGAAACTAGCAGAAGAATCTCTGTGACATTTCATTTCTGTGGAAGCCACTTGATATAATTCAATAGCTCACAGCACTGACACAGTTTACTGGCAAAAAAAGAATACTGACACTACATAGTTGCTGTCTATCTTTGGAAACTGGATAATTAAATAACAAAACAATGCTAGAAGCTCATCACCTCCTCCTTTAACCATTGTCTTCTCTCCTCTAAACAACTAACTGCAAAAGAGCTTCCAGTTCTCTCTCTTCAAGGTTCTGGGAATCAGCAACAACTGTAAATGGCCAGACAATAAATATTTTTGGTTCTAAGGGCCATTAGGTCTCTGTAACAACTATTCAATTCTGCTAGAACAGTATGAAAGCAACCATAGATAATATGCACGTGAACTGACATAGTTGTGCCACAATAAAACTATTTACAAAATGTGAGTCACTTGGATCTAAAGGCTGTAGTTTGCCCCCTATGCTCTGTTCCATCTTCCCCGGTGCTCTGGTTTATTGAAATGGTTTTATTTACCAACCGTGGGCCAAGGACACAATTTTTTGTTCACCAGGGCAGATTTCTCAGTTCCAAATTCAATCTGCTCACTGAAAAGCCTACTTGTATATCATAGGCTCAATAGTGTTCTAAAACTACAACGACAAACCTCTTTCAAATGTGTTTTTTAATCTCAGTTATGATATCACAATCTGCAAATCTGTCCTTACTGAAAAACTAGAATTTATTCTTCAGGGTTTAGATTCACTGAAACAGACTCTGGGACCTCAGCTAATTGTTTCCAAGAGGTTGGCAAGAAATGGAAGATCTTCAGAGCTGTGGATGTACTTCAGTCAGAGCACTCACCCACCAAACCCTGGGTTCAATCAGCACTGCAACGAAAAAGAAAAGACTAGGAAGGTCCTAAGAACACAAAATAGGAAAGCACTCCCATTTCTCTGAATCTAGGGTACATAGCACCACCTAATGGCAAAAGAGGGCCATCCTAAACTACAAGTAAGGCTTTCGGTAAATTCAGAATTTTTTTACCTGAGGCTGAAGCAAAACAACCAGGGATGTGGGGAGACCAGATTGTGCTATAAATGACACTTTCATGGCCTCTAAAGGTGCACAGAGAATTTCCAACAGTTGGATCCCACTACAAATAAACAAATCAATTAACAAAGATAAATTCAAATGTTTACTTTATATATACTATTAATACCATGCATAACACTATATGTATAACATGCAGTATACATGTATGTATACATGTGTGTATATATACATGCTTAAATATACATATTTTTATATATTTATATATATATATCAAAGGGTGTTTGTTTGTTTGTTTGTTTGTTTGAGACAGAGTCTCCTGTAGCCCCAGCTGGCCTAGAACTCACTATGTAGACAAGGCTGGCCTTGATCTCATAGACATCCACCAGCCTCTGGCTCCAGAGTGCTGGAATTAAAGGTGTGCACCATGTCTAGCCCATCTCAAAGGTTTTAAGATCTATTTTTACATAAAGTAAGGTGGTCTTTAAAGGACTAAAGTAACCAATGCTAAGACTAAAATTTCCTAAATTCTGATACATATTTCAATATACACATTTGAAAAGAAAAGTAACTGTAAAAGTTTAAAGCTACAGAAGAATTTTTTAGGAAAGAGTTTAATAGAATCTTTAAAAGAGAGTATCTATTTTTAAATTCAATAATGCTGACATACCACTTTGACAGTCTGATCCCATGAGCCAGACACCACAAGCTGTTCACCTCTGGTTTGACTCCAATCAACACTATATACCTAAAAACATTTTAAAGAGTTTAGAAAGCAAAAAAGCAACAAGTTCAACATTCTATTTTATCTCTTTATAATAGTGACAATCTGCTAGAACAACTAATTTGCTTCATTAAAACACCAAGTGCTGTCCATTTCTACATGATGTCTGAGAAGTGGAAAGGCTATCTTGTCTGTTCTTCTATGCTTACGCTCCTTACAGATATGGCTCCATTCTGTCTTAATATAATTGATTCTACAGAGTATTTCCAAACCTTCTTCACCAAGACCTGGTTGGTGTTTATCAGAAAGCATTAAAATTCAACTAATATCCCTATCTAGTCTTATAAAAACCTGTGCATCCTTCCGATCTCTTGGTAAGCAGCTATCGTTATCCAGTAGTGCTGCTCTAATTTATGCTTCACTAGTCACAGTGTACTATTTCAAACAAACCACCTGAAAACTTACAGAAATATTTTTCATTCTATTATTTGATATAACAAATATATATTATATATATATAGAGAGAGAGCACACTACTGTAAGCTGAATTCAACAAAATATGTGCATAATTATACTTTATTAAAGTAGTCCAGAGATGGACCTGAGCATGTCATTAAATGTGATCAGCCAGCAGATTATTGTGAATCTTAAAACTCTAACTCCCACATACATATAGGAAATGAAAGCGGAGGGGGGTTGGGGGAGGGAAGTCTCTACTACCCAGTACTATGGCTGAGACATGTTAAGAGCTTTAGGGGAGGAAATCTGCAATACGGATCAGAACTTCATTTAAAATTTTGATGTTTTCTCACATATATGAAATCCAAAACAATCAAACTTAGAATAGTTGTAGTCAGAATCTGGGAGGTAGGGGTGGAAATGACTTTTATCAAAAAGTACAAACTTTCAGTTACAAAATGAGTAAGTTCTAAAGATGCAAAGCACAGCATACTAATATTTATAATGAACATTTGAAATATGCTATGAAAAGTTTATTTTAAATTGTTCTCACCCCCACACACATAAAATAACTATGTCAGAGGATGATTAAGCTAATTAGCTTGATTATTGGAATCATTACTCAAAGCATAATCATCTGAAAACACTATAGTGTAAACCTTTAAACATATATGTTTATTTTTAACTATTTCAATAAAATTGAAAAAAATCTAAATTATGTGTTTTGTATATCATGGACTTTTTGCATTTTAATTTTTAAAAAATATTATATTAAGTTGTGGGGGGGGTATACATCTGTAATCCCAGCACCTGGGAGGCAGAAGCAGCAGGCCAACTTGGCTGACACAGTGAGTTCTAGGATAGGCAAGGCTAAATGATGAGACCATGTCTCAAAAATCAGACAAAAGGTTGCATTAACAGATTATCTTGAGTACCAAATGTTCTTCTTCCCTTCAAATTTATAATCAAATGAGTGCCTCACACTTCACCCTAGTTCTACCCTCTTGCTGTCCACATTCATGCAAAAAGAATAGAGCAGTTGAACACTAAAGAAACCACAATCCAACAACAGCTCATGAAGTAAACAGAAGCCACAGCAAAAAGCAAGAGCTGCAGGACGTCTACTTATCATCGACTGGAAGATGGGTTTGGAAGCAATCACTGAAGACTGTGAGCTAGTTTGTCATCTATAAAGAACATACAGTAAATGACTTCTTCAATAAAGGACTCTATATTAAATATCAACATTTTAGGGTTTTGGGGGGGAGGTTTAAAAACAAAAACAACCCCCCATTTATAAACCAAACATCAGAATCAGTTTGGCCCTGGCCCATAAGCAGTCTGTCAATTCCTTCTTTAGGCTAATGTGACTAGTCAAAAATAATAATAATCTTTAATAGTAAATTCTTTATTGAGTGAGCACTGTGTGTCAGAAGTTCTCAACAACACTTTATGCATTTTACCTCACTTAATCTTGGATGCTTTGAGGTAGATAACTATATGCCAAGGTCCAGAGAGATTAAATATCTTGTTCAAGTCCCAAAGTTAATGAGATACAGAACTGAAATCTGAACCCAGGCACTGAACCAAGGCCTAGCACATACTAAACAAGTGCTCTGTCACAGAACTGCATCTACTGCCTTTAGAAAACCCACACTCACTTGCTATGCTAGGCTGTATAGTATGCTCCTTGCTGTACTATTTTTTTTATTATTTTTATTTTATTGTGTACGTATGTATTGCCTGCATTTAGGTAAGTGCACCGTGTCATGCAATGCCCATGAAGGACAGAAGAGGCTGTGGAATCCTCTGGAACTGGAGTTATGGACAGTTGTTAGCTGCCATGTGGGTGCTGGGATTCAAACCTGGGTCTTCTGCAAGAATAACCCAGTGCTCTTAACCACTGAGCCATCTCTCCAGCCCCCTTGACGTACTATTAAGTTAGAATTTTGGGTAGCCTTGGGTAGTGATATCAACAAAATCATTTTTACATCTTACATATACCTTAGATGTATTTTTAAATCTGTACTGTTTTCCCACTGTTCTTAGCATAAAGTTCCAACCAGCCCTCACTGGCATCATCCTTCACTAGAGCTGTTCTTAGGCCTAGACAAATTTCATTTTGTTTTCATGAACTGTTTGTGTCCAAGAACTTAAAGTCACAGCCCATTTGTAAATTCGTACTCATTCCTCAAGATGTGACTACATTACAGCCTTTACAACCTAAGCCTCCCTGACAAGCCCCTCAGTCGGGTGCTCATTTTTGGGCCTTTTATCAGTGGCATATTCCTACTTTTAATCCAGCATTTACCATATTTTGCTAAAAGTACTGTCAAATAAGTACCATACCTACTAAATTCTGGAGACATCCTCATAAACAAAATCACTGAGTTTTGAGTACATCTATGCTTACCATGATAAAATAGGTACTCAGTAATTGTTTGCTAAAATCATTTAATCAATCAAATTTATCTCCATAACGCTCATCATTGTTGTACATACAGAAAACCACTAACTCAAGAGCTTACACCTTCAGCTCAGACTCCAGTCTCTACACTTTCAATGAGATGCAGGCTTCAAAGTCTCATAATTACTCATCTGTTTTTAAAAATCTGTGTCGGGGCTGGGGAGATGGCTCAGCAGTTAAGAACACTGGCTGTTCTTGCAGAAGACCTGAGTTCAAATCCCAGCACCCACATGGCAGCTAACAACTGTCCGTAACTCCGGTCCCAGGGGCTCTGACAGCCTCTTCTGACCTCCGTGGGCATTGCATGACATGGGTGCACTTAGCTACATGCAGGCAATACACTCATACACCTAAAATTAAAATATTTTTTAAAAAGTGTGTGTGTGTGTGTGTGTGTGTGTGTGTGTGTGTGTGTAGTGTATGTCCATGGGTATGTTTGTCAGCGTGTGTGCCCATATGCACATGCAGAAGCCAGGAAGGGACTTGAATTCAATCCCCAGCATCCATGTAAAGAAAGGTATATGATGGTACATGCTTGCTTGTAATCCCACCACTGGGAGGCAGAAACAGGAGAATCTCTGGACACACTGGCCAGTCAGCCTGGCCTATTTTGTGAGTTACATCTAATGGGTATGTTTGTCAGCGTGTGTGCCCATATGCACATGCAGAAGCCAGGAAGGGACTTGAATTCAATCCCCAGCATCCATGTAAAGAAAGGTATATGATGGTACATGCTTGCTTGTAATCCCACCACTGGGAGGCAGAAACAGGAGAATCTCTGGACACACTGGCCAGTCAGCCTGGCCTATTTTGTGAGTTACATCTAGGCAAGCAAACATCCTGTCTCAGAAAAACAAAAAGGTGGACAGTGCCTGAGGAGTGACAACCAAGATCATTCTCTAGCCTCCATGTGCATATGCACCTACATAAACGTGGACTTACACATACACACACATACCTGTACACAAAAAATTAAATTACTTTTAAAAAGTGCTTTTATACAGGATGGATGAAGGGTATACCACATAAAAGTAAACAGGAATGGATGGGGAGGGCAGTTAGAGGGTTGTCACTCAAGACGTAGCTATGTTGATGACAAGGAATCACATGCAAACCCGACTCTGGTGCTTTAGGGTGTTCTCTCTCAATCCTTTGCTCTTTCTATTCCTCAGACAGAGCAAGCTGAAAAAATGAAAAAATTTAAAAACAGACATAAGCACAAAAGGAATGCTGTGATGGAAGTTCAGCTTGATGCTCAGAAAAGTGGATTCCAGCAGGACGACAAGGGCCAGCTAAAATGTTAGTAGGCTTAAAAAGCAGAGGGGAATTGATGGGAGACAATTCCAAAAACATAAACAAGGTTTGCGGCAGCAAACACCTATAATCCCAGTACTTGAGAGGCGGAGGCAGGAGCATTATGTTTAATTAAAGGCACCCTGTACTACGTAGTGAGTTCAAGGTCAGCTTAGGTTACACAGAAAGACATTGTCTCAAAAAGAAAAAGATAAAACAAAATGTAAAAACAGGAACATTCAGCAGCCTAGGGATCAGGGCTAGGGAACACTGAGAGGTAACATCAAGGCTTGTGCAGTCCTTGGTGATGGTACAATTAGCCAAAGTGGAAGACTGGAGGAAAAAAGCCAATATAAAATTGTACACATCTGAGTTTGGAGTGACAGCAGAGCAGCAAGGGGAAATGCCTCGTATAAGCAGGCAATGACCTCAGGTTCTCAAAAAAGTCTGCAGCAGCCAGAGAGATGTGTTTGGTGATACAATTAAAGAGACACCTGGATTCTCCTATACCGGCTTCAAGCCAACTGACAAACACTTATTAAGCACCTGTGATATAAAGGCACAGGGAGGAGGGGGTTACAATGCTAGACAAGAGCAATCCTTATGGACCTTATATTTTAGTAGGATAAGATAACTACAAATAAATAAATACATATGTATATGTATATATATATATATATAATGCTGTGATTTTCTAAACCACAAGAAAAATTAAGCACAGTGAAGAAATGCAAAGAAGGGCAAAGGATTACTTCTCACTACAATTACAATGAACAGGGAAGACCTCTGAGTTCTGTGTGACTTT